AGCCATAAAGAATAAAGAACGAGAAAATAGATTCATCCATAGGAAAATGGATACATATTGAAGATATACTCCTAAGTGAAATAAATAAGGCACACATGTGTAAATACTGAATAGTTTCTGTGGTGTGAATAATCTGCAATAATACATAAGATCCTGATAGGATTACTGACATTTAGAAATGGGAAGAAAGGAGCTAAAGTCGAAGGGAAGGTGGGATGGGTAGGGGAAGGGTAATAAGGGAAAAGAAAAAAATGTGAGATAATGAAAAGATGGAAATAAAGTGTTTGTAGATGGGGAGGGGAGGAGGGGGTGAAGGGAAGACCGGGACAAGGGGAAAAAATGAGAACCAAGACTTGTCATGTAGAGGTACAAGATCCCAACAGTGAATGTAACTGTACTGTATCCCTAAAATGTACCAATAAACTCAATTAAAGCTGAAAAAAAAGATAACAACTTCCAATCTAGACTGCTGTATCCTGCAAAACTTTCTTTTAAAATGGATGGGGAAATAAGATATTTCCATGATAAAGAACACCTGAGAAATTTTATGAATACCAAACCAGCACTACAATGAATTCTTAACAATATCCTAGAAAAAGACAATGAAGGTAACAACACCAGGAGGCCCAACGGAGCAAATCAAATAGGCAAGCCAAGAAACTAAAAGAAGGCAAAACAACAACAACAACAACATAATAATAATAATAAATTAGTACATATTGGTTATAACCATCAATATTAATGGCCTCAATTCACCAATCAAGAGAAATAGACCAGCAGAATGGATTAAGAAGCAAGATCCAATAATATGTTGTATACAAGACACATCTAGTGTAAAAAGAAGCCCATAGACTGAAAGTGAAAGGCAGAAAACTTCTTCATGTAACAGGAGCCCCCCCCACCAAAAAAAAGCAGGAGTAGCAATCTTATTCACAGACAAAGTAAGTTTCAAACTTAAACTGATTGAAAGAGACATTGAAGTTCACTACATCCTTGTGAAGGGAACAATTCAAGAGGAAGAGATAACAAATAATTTATTTTTAATTTAGTAAGTATGTCAGAAAGTATATATGCTTTTTTCGCCTCTTTTCTTCTTTTTTTCCTTTTTCTTTTTCTTCCTCTGATGCTGGGGATTAAACTCGGCACATTGTTCTGGCTAGGCAGGTGCAGCACTACTGAGCTAAATCTCAGGCTTTACATTTCATATTTTTAAAATTTATCAACACATTAATCCTTGTCTCTATATGTTGGTCTACCTAATTGATGAGTTATTTTGTTTCTCATTTTCTTTGCTCTTTTATTTGAGAATTTATGAAATCTGTATATATGAGTAGTATGAAAAGTATTAAGGTCCATCTGTCATTTTCCTCTTTCATTTCTGTTTTGTACAAACTTCATTTTCTGTCACTACAGCTTGTTTGGTTGGAAATTTGTTAAGATAAATGTTGTTATGTTATCAATATATCTTTGTACCTATTTTCTACTGATGATGAATATTAATTTTTAAGTAAATTTTTTATAACTATACTTAATAATTAATATCATTTAGTATCTGGTACATACTACAAATTCTCCAACTCCCTCAAAGATGATATTTTTTTT